CAGCCAACACAGTGGCCTCATCTAAAACACTGCGTTTACAGGTGTGATCATGTCCAAGGGCGTGCTCCTCGAGGACAAGGCTGGATGAGCGTGGGGCAAGCGGCAGGCCGCACAGGAATGAACGGGAGATCTACGTCATCGAACTAAGAGCCGAGGAACGTGAGGGTCAGCGACAAGAGGCAAGGGAGATTCCCCCCGCCCCCAGGTTCATAGGAGGAATGGCTTTGCCAGCGCCTTCATCTTCACCTTGTAACTTCTAGGATTGTGGAACGATACATTTCTAGCATTTTCAGCCAGGAGCCTTGGCAATCTGTTAGGATCGCGCCAGAAATTTAATTTAATATCCTGCACACATCTACTCATTTACCTCGTTATCTGGCGGAAGGATTATTTATTAAGGAACATTTACAACACGGTACATTTTATCTATCCCAACTATCACATATTAGGTACACAATTTCAATTAATTAAAATGAACAGGCGAAGGATACAACGAGGTAAACACTGCAACATTTAAAACTGGCCTTGCCTAAGAAAGAGTGCCAAATGTTGGTACTTACATCTCTACCCCATCTCAAACAAGAAACAACAGTTAAGCCTGGCGAATATTCCATATTATATGAATGTATATCACGACTGATCTCTTGATGTTCATTGATGCGGGCTTAACCTGCTCTAAATGAAAAAAAATACACACAATTCTTAATTCATTTCACAAAATCAGTTGCTCACAGCTCAGTGTAAGTGGATGAGTTGTGAATATGCGGCTTTCCAACCTACCTATTAACCAGTTTTGCCAAAGCTCATGGGAAACAGTGTGTCAGGGCATGAGCTGTGTGCGAGGTAAGGTGATCAAGGGACAACCTGTACACGGCCAAACACTACTCAAGCTAAAACGGTGCCGTGAACAATGGAGACACCGAGGGGACGTGGCAAAAGCGAAGATTCAAGATACCTGGCTGCAAGCAAGCTCCATAGTCTCCCGACTCTGGGACCTCACAAAGACGGAGCAAAGCAGAATCCAAGAGTATTAAAAATAAAACATTTCATCAAAACCTCTCCAAGAGGACTGGGGACAACCCTGAACGCCTTCTAAACGTATCCCCTGAAGCTTTCCCACAGAAAACTGCCTGCCCCATTCCACAGCTTGCAGGCAAAGGAAGGAAAGTCCGTTTCCGTCTGCAGATTCACTCAAACACCACAGAAAACTCTGAGCTACAATCAATCAAGGATGCTTCTCGTGGGGAATGAAATGGCAGTAGCAGCTATACTGGTAAATCACCCTGGTCCCGAATTAGCAGTTAAGAGACAGAAGGCTGGGCATGGTGGCAGGTCTTTCAGAGGGCTGGGGCTTTCTCAGCTACAATTACAGTTCCCAAGCCAGAATGACTTTCCAGGTCTTATGCAAACCCAACACAGAACAAGGGATTCTCTGCTTCTGGGTAGGCGTCCAGGGAGAATTAAAAACTATTGAGTTTTCTCTGGCCTACAACAAAAGATAAGCAAAAATCCTTTTGGATTTTGTGGGATATGACAGGTTCCAAGGTCCTTTAACGGCCTCCCTCTTCATAAAAACTCACCATGGACCTTGGCCTTGAAAGCAGGGATGAGCAGCTCTTGGCCAGATGAAGCTAGCCTGGTAATCAACACCAGCTATTCAACTTGCAAATTACACCGGGTCTTTCACGTTATTTGTTCGTGAACGTAACCGTCAGAAACCAGGCAAGAAGTGAGTGGGAGGAGCTGAGGGTGGCTGTGTGCTGTGCTCTTGGCCTGTGTGGAGGGACTATCTTTTTGTTCACAAATATGATGCCAGGAACTCGGAAGGAAACACCAGGCAAAGTGTATGCTGCTCCAAGCCGGTTCCTACAACAGAGGACAGAACTCTAGATACTAAGGTGGCCCAGACCAAAGAGCTTGCCCGAGTTTGTCATAGGGATAACAACAAATTGGGAGGCTTTTTACCCAGCCACATAGTGAAGACACGAGCTTTGGAGCTGTCTGCAATTCTGGCTGTAATCCTGGAAACAGGGTTTTGCACATCTAGTGGGGGCCTCTTCTGCTGCCCAACGCTACTGCAGATCATCATTGTTAAAACTGAAGCCCACGGGGGCTGGAGAGATGGCTCAGTGGTCAAGAGCACTGGCTGTTCTTCCAGAGGAGCTGGGTTCAATTCCCAGCACTCACATGGTAGCTCACACCTGTCTGTAAACTCCAGTTCCAGGGAACCTGATGCCATCACTCCAATGCACATAAAATCAAGTTAAATAAATCATACAAAACAAACTGAAACGCATTTAACAGACCCCGAGCATCACCTCTGCCCCTAGCTTGACGGGAGTGCTTTCACACATGGCTCTAGGCAATGGGCCTCTCATATGTAGAGAACCTGGAACAATAAAGTTTTCTCTTAATGGCATTCATCATTCCCTCATTTATAAATTAAGACCCAAGTACCATTCAGAGAGAATGTCCCTACCGTGGCTGAGGGCAATGGTGGCACTTTAACTTTTGCACCACTGAAATATTCTGACAGGCAGAGCCCCGTGAAACCCCTCAGTGAGCCCCTGTCTACCACTGTGCAGCGTGCGGAGGAACAGAGTGTGTGCAGGGCGATCCTAATACATCCCCCTTTTATTGAAAATCCGAAACAGTTGTTCTTTGTGCCACTGTGGCTTGGGCTTTAACGCCAGAATCCCGGGGATGAGAACACTCGAGAGAGGCAGACAGAATCAGGCCGAACACCTTCACAGCTCCAAGTCCTGGAACTCAATCAGTTCTAACATTTAGCAACCCAGAGGCAAGAGCAAAACCTTCCAAACACTAAATCAGCAAGACACACGGGACCACGCTCCAATCACAGTAGCTGGACACTTCCAGATGGAAACAGTAACAATACAACTTCCTACATTTTTCCAAAAAAGGAAAGAGAGTACATCGAAACCTACTAGTTTTCAGGAGTGAATCCTAGTAAGGGGCTTCTGCCACAGGGGCTGCAGCTTTGCCAATATGTGGTCAGATGATGTCAAAAACGCCAAAGAGAGCTGAACTGGTAATGCACGAAATTGATTAGCTTCTTTTAAGACAACACTGAAGATGGGTGTTGTAGTCTAAGACCCATGGTGAAGCTGAGTTTCAGTTACTGGGGAGAACAATAAACTATATTATTGTTGTGATCATAAGACCTTCCTAACAAAATGCTTGATGGACTAATAAACCATCAATACCTTGTATCATAACATGTACTTTTAAACTAAAACCCCATACCTTAATGAATAAAGCAGAACTTGTCACTGGGATTTGCTCAGCAGGGTCTTGTCTGTAAGGATGCTCACCTTACAGACTCAGCAGCCCACTGTCTGGACCAGCTGCTCAGGACAGCAGCAACGTGTGGGTATTCCAACCCATATTCCCAACATGCACTGGAGGTCAGGAATTATACCTATCATTATCCGTTGGAAAATTCCCAGCTGAATACACATAAAACTTTCCTTTAAGTTTTGGTAGAGTAGAGTATACATTTACACAATGGAGTATTATTCATCGGAAAAAAACAACGGAATCTTGAAATTCGCAGGCAAATGGAAGAAACCATCCTGAGTGAGGCAACCCAGTCACAAAAAGACAAACATGGTATGTACTCACTCATAAATGGATTTTAGATACAGAGCAAAGGATCACCAGCCTACAAATCACACCACAGGAAAGAGAGACATTATGTGGCCCCCAGAGAAGGAGAAAGGGACAGATCTCCAGAGCAAATTGGGAGGGGGCAGTGAGTGGAGAGGGAGTTAGGAGAAAGAGAAGGGGGGCGGAGGAGGGGGGAGGAGGACATGAGGGAACAGGAAGATTGAGTCAGGGGAAGAACAGAGGAGAGCAAGAAAAGAGATACCATAATGGAGGGAGCCATTGCAGGTTCCAAGAGAAATCTGTCACTAGGGAAATGTTTAGAGATCTCCAAGGATGACCCCAACTAACAATCTGAGCAATAGTGGAGAGGCTACCTTAAGTGCCCTTCCCTGATAATGAGATTGATGACTACCTTATATGCCATCCTAGAGCCTTCTCATCCAGTAGATGATGGAAGCAAAAGCAGACACCCACAGCTAAACACTGAGCTGAACTCCTGGAATCCAGTTGCAGAGAGGGAGGAGTGATGAGCAAAGGGGTCAAGACCAGGATGAAGAAACCCACAGAGATAGCTGGCCTGAACAAGGGGGAGCTAATGGACCCCCAGACTGATGGCTGGGAAACTAGCATTGGACTGACTCAGACTCCTTGAATGTGGGTCTCGGTTAGAAGGCCTGGGCAGTCTAAGAGGCCTCTGACAGTGGAACCAGGATGTATCCCTGGTGCACAAAAGAACTTTGGGAGCACGTTCCCCATGGAGGGATACTCTCTTAGCCTAGAGACAGGAGGGAGGCCCTAGTACCTACTCCAAATGACTTGACAGATTTTGATGACCCCTCCTGGAAGGCATCACCCTCCCTGGCGAGTGGATGCGGAATGGAGGGGGGCGGTTGAGGGGAATGGGAGGATGGAAGGGAGATGGAACTGGGATTAACATGTAAAAAATAATAATAATAATAAAAACAAGTTTGGCTGTATGTTTGACACCCCAATGCACATACAGTTTTAACTCATTTTTGATTACTCTTTTGGAGTGTTTATAAATATATAGTCTCAAAATAATCACTATTATCAGTCTTTTCTATACTCAAGATACATTTTGTATTTTTTTTTACGTTCATTTAATTACAACATGCAATTTACAACACCTGGAATTATAGCAGGACATGAAACACAAACACAGCTCTGCCCAGGAATTATGACTTCTCAGATAAGGACTGGACAGTGATTTCAATTCCTTAATTCTGCAAACAAGCAACACACAGAGCCCAAGTCCATTTTCTGGCTTGCTTGTACCCTAATAGGTCTGTTTCTCAATTACTGTCTAGCCACTGACACACATTCTCCATCTATCATGTCTGGAGACTGGTGAGGAATGTAATCACTTTCCACACCTAAGCCACATGCCAACCATGTGCGTGTCCCATGCCGGTAGTAAGCTGGGCTTGTGAAGCGTCTGCTCTGAAGAGATTTGCTCATGGGATTCCCCACTGAACCTTCCACTGGAACTTCACGTCAATCTTGAACAGTGTCAGAGTCCAGCAGGCAGACTTTTAATGTGTGAGAAAATCGGTATTCGGCAAATGTCCCATTTATCACCTTACTGACAAGCATTTTACAGAGAGCTGTGAGGAGGGTAGGCATCTGTCCCTGCCTGGAACTCATAAAACACAGGGGCTTCCAGCGACCTTAATGTAGAGGAAGATCAATTATTCCTCTCTGTGTTGTTAGCCAGCTCCTGGCGACTATTCATCTTACGTGTAATGATGACCAATATTCGCCGAATGGCAAGCAGACGCTCTTTCAAGGAGGCCATGCCGAGAATGGCCAGCTGAGCCTTGCGTTCCAAAGGCAACACCGCCAGGATCCACCAGGACCATGCAGGACCACTAGAATTGCTCTGTGAAATACATGAGGAGACAAACAGAATTAATGCCTTCAACACAGGCTGCTCCCTAATTTAGCTTTTCATTTAGCCAACAAATATGGGCATGAATGCCCCCTTCCGTTGTAGGGATAGGTTACAAAGCAGAACTCCGGTTAATATGATTTGCATTTGCAAAGGTGTAAGGGAAGACACTGTTGCTGATAGAAATTCACTCCAGAGAAACTCCATGAATTATCTGTCCAGATAACGGTGTGCAGCCATCAGAAAGCTCATAGGCATTACCTCCAGGTACCAGTGTTGTGTGCTGTTGTTTTTTATGTTTTAAGTGGGCTAGCTAAAGCACAATGTTATAAAGTAGTATAATGCTATAAAGGGAAGAAGTATTTGAACAAGTTTGAGTGCCACGGGAAAGCCAAAGAAAGCCAGCGTGGCAAGGTGTGTGTAACACACGTATGCATGCATCGTCATATGTGTTAACTATTGTGAATAAGGTATGTCACTTTTGTTGAGGTACACTTTTGTGTGTAACACACGTTAGTCTTTACTTTGAGTAATCAAATGAGCATTCCGGACTGAATTCTGAGCAAATGTTTATTCTCAACTGTTTTTCTGTTCTTCCTAGTGTTGTGATGAAGATATTTAAGCCTAAGCCTGTCTGTTTATAAGGTCTGGGTTTTCCTACATCCCCAATAAAGAGGTCCCAACAGGGAGCCATGGAGAGTGGACACTGGTGGCTTTAGCTTTGGAGTTGGATAATTTCACCGGAGGACTGGAAATAACCCATTAACCAAAGCTCAAAGGGGCACCTCAACTCACTGCCTAGATGACCCTGCCTGCCCTTCGGAGGTAACCTATAACCCAGATGCTGGAGAGACACTACGGGACCCAAACTCTCCCCTTCCCTTACCCCACAAGATGGGGAAAAATAGATAGCGTGTTTAGTGAGAAGCACCTCATGAAAAAAAAAAAAAAAAATAGAAAATAAAAATCCTCCCTTAACTAAAATCCCTGTCACCGGCAGGATAACAGTCTCTAAAGATCTCAGCATCTGGTTCTTCCTGAGGCCTGTGACACGGCCTCTGTAGGTGACCACGTTATTACAATGGGAAGATTTTCCTAGTAGACCTACATGGATCCTTCCAGGACCGTGGCTGGGGGAGATGTGTCACGGAAGGGCTGGCTTAGCAACGCCCAGGAAGGCCAGCACCTCAGAGGCGGACAATGCCGGAGCAGTCTCTCCTACAACCACCAGAGGGCGACGTGCACCTGCCGCTGCTATGCCAAGTCTGGCGAAACGTGGCAGGGCTTCGGACCCACACAACTGTAGGATAATTAATTAATATACAGGTATTGCTGCAGGCAGCCTGCGGCCACCATGTTAGTGACAATGTGTCACAGCAGTGGCAGGAAGCAAGTCCCCCCACCAATCAGAGACTACTTTGAAATGATTAGTCTAACCACTTTCCTTTCGAATCTGGGGCTCAGAACAGTGGGAAAGGGAGGTGCTACGGCCGGGTGGCCAGGACGGACTGGGAGATGACTTCGGAATTTAAGCAGGGCCTCCTAAACTTTCTCCACTTTTGACTTTTTTTTTTTTTCTCCCTCGAGACGGGGTTTCTCTGTGTAGCTCTGAGCCTGTCCTGGCACTCGCTCTGTAGACCAGGCTGACCTCGAACTCACGGAGATTCTCCTGCCTCTGCCTCCCAAGCGCTGGGATTAAAGGCTGTCCGGCCAGCCACTCAGGACATTTTTAAACTAAGATATTTTTTTTTTTATAACTCTAGGCACAGAGGTACCCTGTGTCTACTAGGATGGAAAATCATAAATACATCTATTCTTAAAAATCTTTTATATACCCATAATTGTACCAGTTAGTAAATATAAGTAAATTCAACACTAATTGGATATATGTGTTGCTTATTTTTACACACACACAAAACAAATCTTGGCTGAGTATGAAATACTGCAGGTCATAGAGCATCCCTGATATTTTTCAGAACCAGGTGGGCACCTGAATTTACACAGAATGTTGAGAGTGCCAATTTCATATAAATACAGTGTGCTTAGGGTCATTTCAGAAAATGCTGGAAGTACTGTCCTAATCCCAAGACAAAATTTATTGATTTTTTTTTTTTTTATTCAATGAAATTCAAGCTAGCAACTGTCCTAGTTATCGTCACCCATTGCACCGACCCAGCCAGGAGTCATCTGAGGGGATCTCAACTGAGGAATTACCCAAGCTGGATTGGACAGTCTCTGAACCGCTGTCTTTGATTGTTGATTGGTGTAGCTGGGCCCAGCCCACCGTGGGTGGTTCTGCCTATCCCTAAGCAGATGGCCTGGATTGTGTAAGAGATCGGCGGAGCAGGAGAGCAGAGGAGAAGCCAGTGGGCAGTATCCCTCCATGGTTCTGCTTCAGCCCCTGCTTGAGTTCCCGGCTTCCCTCGGTGACAGATTATGACCTAGACGAATAAGCCAGATAAACTCTTTCCTACAGAGCACTTCATGAAGCAACCAAAAAGAAACTAGAACAGCCAGTCAAACGACTTTCAAGTCGAGCGTTCGGATGCTCTGATCCAAAGACAGAGCAGAGACTGGCAATGGCGGGTGGAAAGCGCTGAGTCTCTGTTTCCTGCAAATGGATCCATGGCGCTCGCTGCTGCAAAGGCAGCAGATCCCCCATACAAGGGGAAAAGAAACCGCTGCAGTACACAACACACGCAAGTCCTGACCCGCGTCAGCACGGTTCAGGCAGCATCCACGGGCACTGGTGGCGAACACGGGCGGTGAGGAATGCACACCGTGTGCTCAGAACCAAGGCTGCCACGAGGCCCGCGGTGCAGCACAAGGGCACGCTGCGAGAGTACTTCAGATGCACTCTGCATGCACTTAATCCCGAATTAATTTTTGATCACCGTGCACTCAGAAACCTTTACCGGTGGCAATTTTTTTTCCCTGACCCTCACGTTTAGTTATGTGATTCCCCATAAGCAGTTGCAACCCACCATTTAAGAAACTTGTGATCAAAGCGCTCTTCTTGAGTTGGAGAAATGGCGCTGAGCTAGAGGGTGAAAGAGAGAGACGCACAAAAGAAGCAGGAGACAGACACGTGTGAGGAAAGACAAAGACAGTTCACTTCACATGCTGAAAGCTGGTTCTTCCCCCTACATACAGGATTTCTGCAGAGTGCACCCATGTACAGCTCAAAGGAACCACACACAATTCTAAGCCCGAGCGGCTCTGTCATTTAATGGTAAGGCACTGGTTCTGAGACATACCCCACAAACTGTCCCATCTGTTTCCCGAAGGGTCATCTGCAACCAGAACTACTACTGGGCAGTCAACAAGGAACTAAGGCTTCCAAGGCCATGACAACCGTGGGGTTTTCTCTTGAGGCAGTCAACACCCTGCTTGGCATGTGCAAGGCAGAGATGCAAACCCTGGTGCCGTGTGGCCAGTGGAATGGTTTTTGTTAGAGGCGATCTTTATGCAGGGCTAGAAAACATTAATTTATCCACACTGTGATACAGGCACAGGCTGCCACATGCCTTCTTTGAGCAGCTGGCTCGCTAGCTGGCTGGTGATAGTGATGGAGTACAGCACCGTGGTGTTGAATCTCCCACCAGAATGATGAGCTTATCACATTACGGCGGGAAATAGCAGCGTCAGGAGCCGAGGGAGGCAATCCTACCTGTGGTTCAGGTTCCCTGTCTGGCATCGACCCGAAATGGCTTAGGATTTGTTTCTTCATGTGATCTTGGAGAGAGGCAAACCAGGAGACAGACTGCTGGTATACTGACTCGTGGAGGGCGGCAAGTTCCTCATACTCTGCACCTTCCACCTGGCCAGAGAGGAGAGATGGGCATTTAGCAGTCCATCCTGACCTCCGCACACCCACAACCGCGGACAGCTAAGTGGACTTGTGACATTTACTCCTTCACTAATCCCACAAATGACATGTTTATCATAGAAATGTGCTTTTTAATATACCCGAGATCTACCTATTGTACCCCGACTTTTCTCGGAAGGCTCTAATGTGAGTACGTATTCAACGTGATAAATAATTTTCCATGGGTAAGATTACGTAATTGCACATCTCAAGTTATTCAGCTACTGCATTTTGAATACCCTGACATTTTGTTTTAAAAATGAAAGCGTATGGGAAGGAACCAGCGTGATGCCTAGTCAGTAACAATATGCAACACCAAGCCCAAAGACCTCAGCTTGATCCTCAGAACCCTCACGGTAGAAGGAAGGCGCAGACCCCTGAAAGTTGTGTGTGCGTGTATAAACACACACACACACACACACACACACACACACACACACACACACACGAAAATAAACACATACGAACACATTTAAACAAGTGAGTGTTTTGTTAGGTACTGTTTTTTCTGGATAGTTTCCCAGAGGCAGAATAAGGAACCAAGAGTTGGTGTTTTCCAAACTGTTTCCCTAAAACCAAGTTGCCCTCCAGGTGCTGTGCCAGAGCAGCGCAGTGGCCCACCGCGCCAGCTACCAATTAGCCCTGCTGTCATGTGCCACGCCTGCCTTCTGGCACCCCTCACTGGTCAGCCAATCATTTAGCTCCCCCTCAGCCCTGCACAGGATGGCCGGGCACAGGAGGAGCAGGGGACTAGTGTTGGGCGTATCTCAGTTTGTCGCTGGCTCTCATGAGCATGCGTCAGCCAGGATCACAGCCTTTGTGAAGCAGAATGAACCATCCAGGCATTTCCTGGACAGAAAAACTCCAGCGGCTACAAAACCCACAGAAATCGTAACAACAGAAAGAACCATCATAGGTTCGGCTTACACAGACCAACATTCACATGCAAGAGGGATTTCCTCTAAAATTACTTCATTAGCTGAAGCCGGTTTTAAAGTAAACCCGTACACCATTAAAAATGAGGTGTCATCGGCATCAATACCAAAAACGCTTCATCAGATCTGTTGTCAGCCCTGTAGAAGGAGCAGAGAACTTTCACACTGGACCAGTGTTTGTAGCCAGCCCCACGGTCCAGAGGCCGTGGAGTTGGGCTCCCTTTGATCTCTGAGGCGCTCAGGGCCATTAGCCACCAGAAGCGCCAGCTAGGAGACCAACAGAACCAGGGCTCTGTGTGTGATCCTACTTAAATGAACGTGTGTCTACGTCTCTAGTGTGACTTCTAGTGTGACGTCAGAGGGAACCTACTTTTACATCCACATTTCAGATTTCCACCAAAAATTTAAAAGAGGGATACAATAATTCAACGTATTTCATCCTAAGTATTTTTAATTTTGTTATAACATAACTTATAGACAAAAGTGCCCCCCCCCGCCCTCCACTATCACAGATTTTGTTAGGCTCAAGGAATTTTTTTTCAACTGTACAAGGCAGTGTAACCATCCGACTACCGCCCTAAACCAGATAGAGAATGCCGCTGCTACCCAGAGAGACTCCTCAACCCCTATCCCAGGACGGCATCAATCCACCCTGTGCTTCTGACCTCTGTCTACCGGCCATGCTTTTCCTGTCCCTGGGAGTGTACAAGAGACACCACTTTCGCAAGCTGTGTGTGTGGTGAATGTGCGAGGTGCATCGTTGGTCTGGCTCCCTCTCTCAGCCTGGCTGTAGGTTCACTCATGTTGTTAGAGCACCCGTTCCCTATCTTCGGATACTCATAACCCTCCACCACACGATGAACTGGAACACTCTACCCATCTGCCTGAGGAGCATCTAGCCCATGTCCACTTCTGGCCATGGATGAGACCTGTGGAGATCTCTGCATATCTTTATGAGGAGATCTCTTTGCTTATTTGTCAAAATAAGTGTACTGATATTTCTGCCGGGGGAAAATAACTCTCAAGGGGTGAGAGGTTTTTATAACAGTTTTGGGAGGCACTTAAGCACTACCATTTTATATTATACCTCTTTCTGAACCATACCTACAATCACTGCTCGTGACTCAAATGCTGGCCATCACCATAGTTTCAGTATTCCCCCCCACAAATTTTATATTTTATATGAGTGGGCGTTTTGTCCACATGCATGTCTGTGCATTTCAGGGAAGGCTGGAAGAGGCCGTCTGATTTCTTTGAAGCCACCACGTGGGTGCTGGGAATCGAACTTGGGCTCTCTGGAAGAGAAGCCAGTGCTCTTAGCCACTGAGCCATCTCTCCAGTAACTCCCACCATGTCTTAATAAATAATCTTGTGTTGAAAACCAGGCTAGCACAGTCATTTACACGTGGTCTATTGCTGCTTTTAAACCCTAAGAATAGGAGCTAGGAGTCGCAAGAGAGACCCCATGACTTGCAGGGTCTAAAGCACAATCATCCCTTCATGTCTATGGGGAATTAGCCAGGATATCTTCCACAGACTCCTAAGTCCATAAAAAATGATGTACCGTTTGCATAAAAGCCCACACAGACCCATCTCCCTTTCATTCCGAGTCATCTACAGGCTTCTTGACCTAACAGAAGCAGCGGTTACACTCTATATTCTTTTGTTCTTGAGACTGTGTCAGGCTATGTTGCCCAGGCTGGCCTCACACGCGGGCTCAATCATTCCTTCTTCCTCAGGCTAGAGAATCTAGGACCACAGATGAATGCTATGTGCAGCCCTACTCTGCTGTCTAGGGAATAACGGACAAGGCAAATGTCTACCCATGTTCTTTAGAGGCATAACTTACTTTTGTAATGGTTCCAATGTACCACCAACAATGTACAATCTACCATCATCTATGAAGAAGCCACAGGCAGACTGTCACCTTCTATGTATCTGGACGTTGTAGCAAAAGTGTGCCAGCCCCCCGGCTAGACTATCAAACATGAGAGCACATGTTCCCTAAGGGTGGTAAAGGCATTTTCTTTTAGGGGATTTCTCTACCAGCTCTAAAGTTGAAAACAACCCAAGCGCTGGATTAAGAAGGAAAAAATGACCCCACCTTCTCATCTTCCAGGTACTCGATGTCTGCTGTGTTATAACCATCTCTGTGGCGGTGGTTCAGTACCCTGAAGCGGCTGATCCCGACGGCGTCCACAACGGAGCTTCCGTCGGGAAAAGTTCGAACATCCTTTATCTCCAGCATGCAGCCATACTCTGAAATCCTGAGAGGGCCAGTGAGGAAAGAGATAATTGTGTTTGCAATTCAGACGCCCTCGTTTCCCCCCGAACTGTGGCTTTTAAAAGGAATGCAAACCCAGACTGAACAAAGGGTGTCTCTGCATCAGGCCAGCGAGATTATCATCCCCTGTGGCAACGCCTCCTCCTGCTGAATACTGCCTGTACTGGAGGTGGTGGCTTGGGTTGGCAGAGGCCTCAGACCTCGGCATCAAACGAGCTGGAGCTCTATGGGGACCCGAGAAATGGGAAGACACCGAATCTTAAAGGTGGAGCTTTAGCCCCTTGGCCAGGCCATGTTGGGGGTCCAGTAAATACAAGACTTGGTGTTGCTCAGACACTCCGCTCTGGGCCCACAGAGCAGCCCTACCCCGCCCCCATGCTGTTTCACTAACATTGTCCCAACCCAAGTCCTGAGGTAGGCAGTCTACAGGCACGCCCGAGTCTCTCTGCCTCCCATTTACACCCCCATCATCCCACCTATGAGCCCAACAGAAGCCACAGATACTCTCCAGGTGGCCATCGTCAGTGGGCACATCCTGCCATCGAACTAACACTTTCTACTACTACTTCTCTGGTCCTCCCCACTGTCTTCCCCCTGCCCGGTTCTCACGTGCCTGGCATCCCTAGCTGCGATACTTTCCCTGACCCTCTTCCCGTGTTCATTACTAAAACTCTCCTCAATGTTTCGGTGATATTCACGACGGTACACACAGCCGCACATAATATGTACCTGCTCCAGCCTCGCGGGTGGGACATGGAGGCGTATTTAAGATTAGAGTAGGATTGATAGTCAAGATCTGAATCCTAAGATGCCTGTTTCCCGAGTTCTTACAGCGAGTAACGGCACTATGCATCTCCTACACTGAAGAGGATTGTGAATTGTCAATCTTTCGCTCCATGTTACCTAAGGGAACAATCTCATTCCCGCCCGTGGTGTGCGCGCGGATGCACCCTGAAGATGTTCTGTGTTTTCCCAGCTATCGGCAAACAACCTCTGAGTATCAGCGCCCCCCAAGTCTGCCTCAGCTGCAGAGCTCACCCTATCCCGTAGCATCTTATCTCGTCTGCCAGAGGGGCAAAGCCCTATAGCCTGCAGCTCCGGGCAGATGCTGTCTCCTGCTGTTCCAGAAAGGGCCATCAGTGTGCTTTTGAATACCAGCTGGACCCAAACACACCACCACTCCTCTGGCGTCCTTCCATGCCCTGTGCTGGAGGGACGTGAGTGCCCTGTGCGCTCTCTCTCTCTCTCTCTCTCTCTCTCTCTCTCTCTCTCTCTCTCTCTCTCGGTATAAGTGGCGGAGCTTTTTGTTACCTGCCCTCACTGACTTCCGATGAGCCAAACGGTAACCTCTGAGTACTGATGTGTGTACTCAGTGTCTTACATTTAAAAAAATCTTTGCCTGCTCCTAATTGTGAAAATAATCTCTAATATTTCCTTTTTTTTTTTTTTTTAACATTTCCTGATGTATGGTTTTCACAACAGGAATCTGTTAAAAACATAAACATGAACACATAAAGAAGGGACTGCCCACTGCCCGCTACTTTGATTGGCAGCTTTTACTGGTGGTCTCTCTCTCTTCCACACAATTATATATAAATTTGGAGCTCATATTTGAGCAGATCTGTTCTGGTCTCCAAGTTCTTTTTGTAGCTCTGCTGACTATGGCTTATGATTCCGGTATTAGGGGAATGTCCTTTCTGGTCATTTGATTCCTTCAAAACTATCTGGCCTTGGTCCTTTTTCCTGTCACATTGATTCTAAAACGGGCAAAGAAAATCCTTTTGGGATTCGAACTGGGATATGAATTAATCGGATAGAAGTGGCCTCCTACGGTAGTGAGTCTTACCGTCCGTTAATGCCGTCCTCTCGGTTAGAGTCTCCTGTCTGTGCATCAGTCAAGTTTTAGGATATTCTTCGTACGCGTGCATTCTCTTTAAAAGATTATTTATCCCTGGGTATTCATGGCAAAATTGTTGAGTGGCCCTTAAAATACACTGTCCTCTTCTTCCTAGGTAAGTGGACAGACTATATACTGCTCTCTCCTTCCCAGCAGGTGTAGGCATAAGGGAGGTGGCTTTTTTTCCCTCCAGAACCCTCTAGGAGTACGCCTACCCCCAGCTGGTACTGGATAAGACATCATCATGGCCATGGCCGCTGTGAAATGCCAAAGAAGCCTCTCTTAGGAGAGGAAGGGACTCAAGTGTCCAGCGCAAGCCCCAACTTCCTGCTGCCTTGCAACGTCCTCTCTAGACAACCGAGGGAGAGCAACAAGAAATGAAACCAGGCGGCACAGTTTGCATAAAACGGAGAGTTTTGGAGCTGTGGACATTGAGAAAAGCTTCACTGATAACGTAACCGTTATTTCTAGACCACAGAGGCTGAACCAGAGCTGTCTGCAGAGAGATGGACAAGAGGAGGCTTGCAAGCAGAGGGGGGCATGGAGGTATGGAAGCATGAGCTTCCAAGAATTGGGCCAGCGACATGGAACAGGACTAGCAAACGCAGTAGCTGAACAAGAGGTAGTAATAGGAACCACTAATATCCAAGCATCATCCTTAGTTGCTCTTCAAGAAAAGGAGGAAGCCTGGAAATTGGGACCCTTGAGATGCTGTTTCTTACCCTGCATTCTCTGCAGATAAACACATGCCAAACCGCTTGGTGCCTGTTTCCATGCACCTTCTTATCATGAGGCGATAGCGGGGTTCAAAGACGTGGAGAGGGCAGGGAACTGTCGGGAAGGCCATGGCACACACAAAGATGGGCACGTCTCTGGTCAGGCTGCAGAGCAAGGGGAGATGTTAACTTAGACACTTAAGCTTTCAGAACAGAAGCGAGCAGTTGCTACCACAGCCAGAGTTGCCAACGAAACAAAACCGGAGCCTGACTCAGGCCTCATGTGTGAGGACAGCCAAGGATCCTGGCCCGAGAAAGAGCTCCACTCAGCCAGGTTGTATGCAAGCCTGTCATATGCAATGATGAGAGAGAGAGAGCATCCTGAGTTATATCACCGCACTTGTAAAAGTCATAGCTTTGAATGACACTAAAAAACACTGCGCAAAGCATGAAGTACACAGTAGACAGAGGCACTGAGTTTTAATAAAAAGTGGAGGGTTGACCAAGTCTGTATGGAAACACAACCTTGAACCAGCTGGAGGGTTGAAATCCCTGAGGGTCACAATCCTGCTTCCTGTCCTGATTTTTGTCTTCCCATTTAGAAAGTTATTCAGACACAGAAAACAAATATAAAACTTTCAAAAATATTATTTTGAAATATTCCTTATAATTACTTACAACTATATGCCCACAGATATTTTGCAACTAATTTTTTTTTTGCTATTAATTTTTTTGCTATGTAATGAAAAAAAAATTTAAGGCTCATGTTCCCTAAGATTTTTTTCTCATTATTCTGCACCAAAGGCCAACTTCTCGGGACTTCACGTGACATAATCACTTACTTTGATAGCTCCGACATTTCCTCATCGTAAGTCTTCTTCCTAGCAGACAGCTCATCCGGTAAGTATTGGAATATCAATTCTTCAGTCAGAACAGTTACATTGAAGTTTCGGGTTGCCAACAACTACAACAAGAAAAGATATACGCTAAGTGATACAAAACAGTAACTGATCCTGAACAGTGCTTAGCGCTGAGTCTAGCCTGCGGGGTCTGTTCCGTGCACCGGAGAAAGGGTTGGCTGACATTTGCTGTGTGGGTGACTAGCTCCTTGGAGACTTGAAGTCCTTGTCCTAAGGGACTCATATTTAGCAAACTACCAGGATGATTCTTTGTTCTCTCTTGAGAAACCTTACTGATTTTTCTGGTTAGCACACAGAGCGATGGGTATTATTGTAATATTTTTACCCACATACACAATGGGCCACGTTTCGTTTCTTCACACGGCCCTCATGAAACAGCAGCTCGTGTTATAAATGGTCACGGAGGTGAGCTTTTGTTCCCATGGGCATAGAGAGCCACCTTCAGGCCCCTGGATCCCGGGAACACGGGTGCATTAGAGAGTGGGGAGGTGTGCCTGTCAGCAGGAGATGATGATTATGTGGGAGAGTTCACAGAGGCGCTCCCCCAGAGAACTGCTACACAAACTCAGAATGTGTCTAAGGCATAGCACAACACGGACGATCATCCCAGGACACCTGGAAAGCTTAGGAATTCCCAACGTGACGGCAATTTAACAATGCAAGCGCATCATGCAACAACATAATAAAGGAAGTATGTTTGCACGTTTTAGAAAGGCTTTCATGGTGATGACGTATTTTAACATGTTTTGCCAAAGAATTAAGAAGTTAAAATTGCTTTAAATTTTATTTCATTTTAACAACCTCTCCTGCTATGTCAGATTTTTTTTTTAACAGTTAATTTGGCTTAGGAGCCTGTCTCAGGGGCATGTGCTACTGTGCTAGAGGAGAAAAGGGCAAAAGACCCACGCTATTTGTAGCATATTTCTGGAGGTAATTATTAAAACAAAGGTTACCAGTCTCAACTTGGGGATGTGAGAGAAGCCCTCAGCCCCTACAAGAGGCTAAAGAATCCGCCACGTGGAAAGTGAGTGGGCACAACGGGGCAGCACACCACAGCTCTGCAAAGCTATTCACGTCATCTATCTTACCCGCGCGCCCAACATCAATGGGCGCGTCTGTTCGAGATGAATGTCAGTAGAGAGTTTCCCCACACACCCTAAATTTTGCTGGATTTGGTTGCACACCAAAGGCAGTAGCAACTGATGACTGCAAAGGGCAGGAAAGAGATCTGGCAGCTCTGTGGGAGCTGTGCGTGCACCAGAATGCGTCAAAACTGTTTGGAGTGAATATACACTCCAAATATATATTCTGCGAGTTCTTGTCAACTAACTCAATTATTTATAGCTGAAAATTGCTTTAATACTTGGCCACTTCTGCACCTAACATTTCCTTATACGGTTTGGTTGATGAAGAGGCGGGGGAATGACCCGTATTAGATCAAAACAAATCTGATTTTTAACAAGAAGATGGTAGAGGAAAAGCATGAAACCGTCTACCAAAGCACCGTAAGCGGGAGGGGCTTCCCATTTCACAAACCACTCGCCTCTGAAAGCTTGTCTTTGCAGAGTGGACAGTGTGGAGCGTGGTCAAGGCAGCGTTCGAGGCATTTCAGGCAAAACGTATGTCCGCAGGGTGTAGTGACAGGTTCAAAGAGCAGCCTAGAAAGAGGATGACGAGTTTGCACCAGAATATATCCAGAACAGACTTTAAAGGGGAAAAAAAAAACTACCTGTTTGAAGGGTGCCCCATGAAGTTTCCACACAACTAATTTCTACTCCTCTTTTATATCTTCATTAAATTCTTAGAAAATGGTCGATCATTATCAAGATATATTATGCAGGCTACTTTTATGTTAATGTGGCACAGGCTAGAGTCATCTGAGAAGAGGGAACCCGATTGAAAAACGCCTCCATAAGACTGGGCCTTAGGCAAGCCTGTAGAGCATTTTCTTCATTAGGGATTCATGCAGGAGGACCCAACCCATCCCATCAAAAACAAGGCTGAGCAAGCCCTGGTCAGCAAGCCAGTAAGCAGCATCCTCCAGGGCCTCTGCATCAGCTCCTGCCTCCAGGTTCCTGCCTTGTTTTACTTCCTGTTCTGACTTCCTTCACTGATGAACTATGGATGTACTTCCTTCACTGATGAACCATGGATGTAGGTAGAAGTGTAAGCCAAGTAAAACATCCTCCCCAAACTGTCTTTGGTCATGGTGTTTTATCACAGCAACAGTAACTCACACTTGGACACACTAACAGCGCCATGTGCGTGGTTATGGAATTCAGAACCACGGACTCTTTAAAAAAGACCCGCATTTACTCCATACCAGCTCACCTCATACACAGGGCGCACTCAAAGTCAGCCGCATCAATCATGAACTCGGGCTCCTCCAGAGAGTTCGCACTCTCCCGAGGTGAGGAATCCGCGTCTGAAAAAGAGTTTTCAAATGTTGTAACTAACATCGAAACTTGTAAGAAACGTCCTGCAACAGATTTATTTCTTCTGGGTAAAATGTTTGAATATCAATGTTAACAAATGATGCTGGGAAAAAAAAATTCTTGTCCAACAATTATAAAGCAAGACTCGATCGAGCTGGAAAAATCAATTCCATCCAGGTGTTCTCTTTTCCACCATAAAACCCCTGCTAAATTAACTGCAGAAGATAAGCCTGTATACGCATTTCTTTATGGATTTTACGGTTTAAAGATCTTTTTTTTTTTTTTAATCGCTTGTGTACCAACCCTCTACCCCTTTTGATTTCAGAGAACCATGGCAGGAAGCGGCTTGCTGACCTTTCTTGGGGACTTTCTCGGGGGTGTCCCTGTCACACTCATTTTCTGTGTCACTTGGGAGCTGTCTCTTGAGAGTGCTGCTCCGCGCTGCTGGGATGACGCTTTCCAGCGCTTTTTTGTCCACTTCACAGTGCTGGCCCAGGATGAAATATAGAACCGAGGAACTGGCATTCCCGAACACATCAGACCTCTCAGGTGGATTCTATTTCAGGAGGGGGAAAAAGAACACCGATTCAAGAGCCGCAGGGTACAAGAGGAAAACAAAACAACACGCATAGCCTTCTTAGAAACGCCGGGACAGGGGCTGTGCTCTCCAGCCCAGCTGGCTTTTCTAACAGGGAACCAGATTCCCCTCACACTTTTCGTGTGGTGAAACACAGGGTAACTTCCTTCTGAGGAGAAGACCAATCTCCATATGTAGGGCATATACATCAACGTACACACTCCACATCAGATCTGTCTCTGCTTCCTTTTCTCCAAGGCAAAAATGATACGAGGTCTCCTGACGTTCTGCAGATGTTCCAGAACGCCAGGAGGTGTTTGGAGCGGCCCCAGAGTTCCCATCTGAGACGCTCCATTAGCTCCCCTGACTTTTAACTCGTTTTACATCTAGCCCGTGTGATCCATGATGTCCGAGGAACTGCCAAACTGTAAAGCTACCCAATGGCATTCACATGCAATCCACACCTCAGACCCGCCTGTGGTAGCATTACTGCCTTCTTCCAGAGGATGCTGGGGATTCGCCTGGCCATCGCCATGGGCGTCTGGTCCGCTTTGGGTGGAAGCTGTCGAATTCTGATGCTCATTTTCTGAAGCTGGAAAGAACACCTCACATATTACCTGTTTTTCAAGGAAAGAAAACACATTGTAAAGATCTTCCGGGTGGTGTGTGGAAGACTATAGCATACTTTAAAGGTTCGGAGTCAACACAAGACGAGCAGGCCCTCCAAAACAGAAAAGAGTAATTGATGTACCCCGACGGCCAACCTTTTAAAATAGAAGCATTTTGAAGCTATACACGATGTGTTTAAGAACCGTAGGCTTCAGCCCCTCTCCACCGTCTTACCAGTAGTAAACTATGGGGACGCACCCGGACGAGGGAAACTATGCAGAAAGGATGTTTCAAAGAAAGCAAGCTGTCCTGAGTACCTAACGTGGTTTCACCCAGCTGTGGAGGGGAAAACAGACTTGTGTTCTGCTCCACAGAATGAAATGTGCTCCTCGGCACAGGTTATGATGTAGACATACGACAGCCGCATAAGTTAAACCGCATGAGAATAGGAAACTCTAACAGAATAAAAAACTTCCAGCCTCTGGAAATGCCACGTAAAGACCAGGGGAGTGCTGTTGAGGCCTTTGGCTAGGGTAGATTCCTACATTAAGCACGGCATAGTACTTTCTGGACCGTCTGGTGAAGCCTGGCTGCCCATCACTGCTCAGTCTGCAGAGCTGAACTGTACATGCTACATGCCTCTGGCTGTGTCCTTCACAAGCCTAACTCTAGGATAAATGACAAACCCTAGGATCTACAGTCTCCACAGCCTTGAGCTGGTGTCCCTCCCATGTCACCACCTCATCCGACACTCTGCTGCTGCCTATCTAATGAAAAGTTACCAGATGTGGTGCACATGATTGCTGCGTTATTAATCACACTGTTGTGGCCACTTGAAGTTACATGTGTTGCTCTTACAGGCAAGGGCTCCCGGCATGGCACAGAGCCACACGTGGTACCCAAGGGAGGAAGTCATGTACAGGAACGCATACCTTCTGTGTCTCTCTCTTCGCTGAGTTACATTCAGGGTTTAAAGCAAGGCAGTAGATGAACTCCTTTAACACTTCTTTACTCCTTCCCAATCCAGAGAGAACCTGAGCTTTTATATGGTGCCCCTGGATGTGCCCAAAGACAAAGAGTGGATTTTAAAACACAGCAAGGTTATGTACATCTGGCGACAGTAAGTCCTGGAAAAACGTGGTTAGAACGGTGTGCTGTAACTTCAGATTAGGTGAGTATGTGCACACCGTAACCGTCAGGAAACAGTTCTCAAGACACGCTTTGCTGTTTAATACACACATCTACAACCAGAATGCACTTTTCACTGCAACTGAGATCTGTGCCCATGGAAGTTCTGAAGGACACACTGAGAAAGATAGAGTATCTACCAACCTAGTTTTATTGTTTATGCGATTTATGAAACTCACGTAATTTATAAAAACTCTCGAATAGCTAAGCGTGTGATATATTTATTAATTTTAAAGCACTCTTGAACAAAAGATCAAAGCTAGGCTTACACCCCAATGCATCTGAATTCAAGATATATTATAAACGATTACAAGTAAAATAGTTGTCATTTCTATGCACTAACAGTCACCATCTGTTTAAATGTTGTTCAAACGTGGGCATGTGTGAATGCCACAGTAAGTCAGAAGAAGGAAGGTGTTGGGACTAAAGAGGTGGTGCACCTTTTATTATGTTTCTCTGATATTCTCAAGTCTGTGTCAGTGAAATACTACTCAAATTCCTTAGCCATTTAGCCAGTTGTGTGGAGTATTACTGAATCGGTAAGATCACTCCATACATGTTGAGCACGACTCCTCCCTACCACACACAGTCTTACCTGTTCCTCTTTTGTGCTTAGCTTTTCATCTCAGCACCAATACCTGTTGAAGTTTGGTGAAGCCTACTCACCAAATTCTTGCTTTTGTAACGTGTACGCTCTGGTTGGCCACCGATCTTAACACGTATTTCCTTTCTTTGGTTCACCTCGGTTTTATTTACGATTTATTTTTGTTTCTGTGTGACTGAGTGTATATGCCACATGTGTGCAGGTTTCTGCTAAGGCCGGAGGAGGATATGCTGAGCTGGAATTGAACACAGCTGTGAACCAACCACCAAGGCCAAACTCAGATGCTCTTAACCACTGGACCATCTCTGCGGCCCCTCACCCTGGTTTTAATTTGTTCTTCTTGACCAGTTTCATAAGACAGAAACTAGATATGAGGCCATGGTCCTTTAACAGGAGACGATAATAATATGCATTTCTCTCTAAAAGTGGCTTTAACTACATCTAAGAAATTAAATATACAATGTACTTCATCATTAGTTTTAAATGATCACCGATTTGGGGCCTTTGACCTTTAACAGGAGATGATAATAATATAAATTTCCCTCTCAGAATGGCTTTGACTACATCTAAGAAATTAAATGTGTAATATATTTTTGATAGTCCCTTTATGATCTTTTTTTTCCTGTCCAAAGGATTGTTTAAGAAGTAAGTTGTAAATATATAGGATGTCCTAGATTTCTGTCACCCTTGTTGACTTCTATTTTTAGTTGCTTTGAGAGAACACTAATTTGAAGAGTTCAGTATTTTGAATCTTGATATTGTTTTATGAACACTGAATCTAGCATGCATTTATAAAGGTATATATTCTATAGTTAAATGCACTGTTCTACAACTGCCAATTAGAGATGAAATCTCCTTCTATGTCTCTAAAGTTTCTACTGATACTCTCTGAGATTAATATGGCCATTTAAGTTCTACAAATTTTGTGCTTTCATAATACATTTTTTTTACAGCCATTTAAACATTAAAGTGAATTTCTTGTAGATACCATATCATGGGTCTTGCTTTGCAGGCATGCTGATGATTTCACTTCCCACTTTTAATACGCTGTCCCTGTGTTGACTGGCTTCCATGATGTCTCGTGAGTTGTTAACCATCCATTTTGTTATTTCCCTGCACACCATGCTTTCTTGCTACTTTTAAGACTCCCTTAACAACTGTGTCTTAAACAGTAGATTGGTTGTGGTTTGAGTTTATTTTTGCATGGTTTCTTATTCATCCCATGCGTCTGAAATCAATCTTTCCCACTGTGGCAGTATGAATGTGATTGGCCCCCAGGTACTGTCTGGAGGCGTGGCTTTCTTGGAGTGGGTGTGGCCTAGACGGAGGAAATGTGTCACTGTGTGAGTAGGCTCTGAGGTCTCATACGCTCAAGTCATGCCCAGTGCCTCAGACCACTTCCTGTTGCCTGCGGGATATTCATGCAACTCCTCCGGCACAGTGTCTGCCTGCATGTCGCCATGTCTCACTACGATAGTGGACTAAACCTTTGAACTGTAAGCCAGCCAATTAGATGTTTTCCTTCATCACATGCTGTGTTCATGTGTCTCTTTGCAGCAACAGAAACACTAACTAATCTATTTTTTCCTCTTCTCCTCCCATGGTTCTAACTGAACATACGTTACAACACAGATCTTCCCCCCCACCCCCCACCCCACCCCCGCCCCCGTTCTTTACTTGGATTTGGTTTTTACTTCCTCTGTGACTTCCCTATGCGCCGCCTTCTCGGGACTCGTAACTGTCACTTTGGACTGAGTTTCCCTGTTGTGCTCGTTATTACTCAAAAGTTACCGAATTTTTCTTCAATTCTCTGGGTTTAAGTTCATGTAACTTTTGAGCTTATTTACGCAGGAAGGACATTTCTAACTCTGGAACTGGAAATGTACCAAAGTGCACAGTATTGTCAGCATTGGTCTGGGGTCGCGTGTAGAAAGGCCCAAACCATGAAGCTATGCTTCATGCACAACTTTTTAAACATACTGCGTTAAGCTGTATTAAAAAAAAAATTAAATGACTTTAGTAAGCTGCCTATATAAAGCACAGAGTATGTGTTTATAGTTGAGTGCCTCCTTGACCTATATCATTTATTTATTTATATATATATATATATATATATATATATATATGGAACTATCCTCAACATATGAATGTATTCAAAATCCCCAATATATCTGTACCCAGGCATTTTGCATACAGATTTTGAGACGGTTGATTGCACAACATCCAGCTAAATATAATATGTACCGAGAGCAAATTACCGTTTAAATATTATCTAAATCCTAGATTAACTTGGTCTTTTAAACTGGGTTGACTCGGTAAGAAGTAATTAATTGCTAAATTCAGCCTACTGTAAAGTAGAGGAAAAACTACCTGCAGGTGCCTAATCACAACCGTGCTAACATGACTGACAGTACCATGAGCTGGGGCTGGGAGAGAGGCTCAGTGTGGCAAAGTGCTGGCTGCCCGAGCGTGAGGAGTTGACTTCTGATTTCAGCCACAACACGTGACAAGAGCAGGGAGGATGATATACGGAGCGGGGAGACTATCGAATGAACCAGCCCAGGCTCAGTGAGAGACCCTGAATCAAAATACGAGGTGGAGAAGCAATTGAGGAAGACCTCCTAATGTTAACCTCTGGCCTGGACGTGTACCTGTACAGGTGAGAGGGCAATGACATGCACACACCTCGTAGTCACACACACACACACATGCATGGACACACAATGTCACACACAGGCTCACAGGCGCGTGTGCACGTGTGTGCATGCACGTGCACACACACATACACACACATGCATGAACACACAATGTCACACACAGGCACGTGTGCATGTGTGTGCATGCACGTGCACACACACATACACACACATGCATGAACACACAATGTCACACACAGGCACTTGTTCACGCGTGTGCATGCACGTGCACACACACACACACACACACACACACACATACACACACATACACACACCCTAACCTTAATCAGACAGACCCTCTCCAGAGCCGATGAACAAGCACAGCTCACCTTAGTCAGGAGAGGCTCCCTCTGACAGACTGCGTCCACATCCCGCAGGGCTTGCCCATAGTTCTTCATGGCTAGATACAATTCTGCTCGCAAAAGCAGGAGCGAGTTATCATCAGGGGCTGAAAGACAGGAGGGATGCAGGTGGCTGCATGGAAAGATACATTGTTTCCCGGCATTAACATATTAAATTAGGGAGTAAGCACAAAGGAAAGAATGAAATAACTCCTCCCGGTGATCTCATACTTGAGTACACTTTACAAAGTTTCTGTCTGGGAACAGGTACAAGTGTAACTAGGACAAACAAACTAACATCAACTGTCCCTTCAAGCACACAACCTCCAATAACAAATCAAGTCATCTCTTAATCCAATAATCTGAATCCAAGCTTTCAAGTCTGAGTTTCAGGTTTGGGGGCATTTCAGATCTTGTCTTTTTTAGTTAGAAATCGGAAAGAAAGAGCCTTTAAACTGTGAAACACTTCTAGATTGAACTTATTTTGAAGCAGAGAGAGCCATGCTGTATGGCTGGGTGTCGGGAAGCCCACTGAAATCTAACCAAAGGGATGGGGAGATGGCTCCGTCAGTGAGGCGCTTGCCACACAAGCACGATCCTCCCACCAAGGTAAAAAGGGAGGGTGTGGGTTCAGTGGGACAGGCCTGCAGTCACGGCACCGGGAGGCGAAGGCAGGGGGCTCTCCCGTCCGCCTGGTCCAGCCATAGAGGAGCTCCAGGCTCAGTAAGTGGCCATGGGTCAAAAGTAATGTTGAGAGCAACTGAGAAAAGCATCTGACGCCCACTTCCAGCCTCCCCCGCGTGCGCGCAGACCTTGCACACGCACAGAAACACGTGCACGCACAATGCACACACCCAGAAGCTGGGTCAGAAGACTAAAACGCAATTTTCTTTCCTGCCCAAGCGTATGCACGCCGATTTACCTGTATACCTGAATTCTATATGCCTGCAGTACCTTCTCTGTTTTCCCGTGTCCCACATACAAAAGGCGAATTGGTAACCATTCATACGATGATACAGACAAACCCAGCTTCTCAGAGAAGTCCATTCTCTACAGAACGACCAGAGTGTATGACAAGTGCTGATGTAGCAGGGTACCATGGAAACTCGACAAAGCCAGGGCTCCCGAAAGCTGAAGCTTCACAGATGTTTTTCACACCTCCAGACTTTGCTCACCCTACCTCCATCTTCTTAGGATCCTCACAGCAGGGTTACAGCTGCACTTTTCAGATGGCTACTAGGCTGAACACTTAGATATATTCCTTTCTTCCTGAGCACACTCCTGGTTTGCCTGGAAACACTGACTTAGACCTCAAAAGTCTCACTTGGGTCTTTGCAGAGGCCAGCATGCTTCCTATAAATTTATGTAGGCAACCAAGCAAGTGCGCAGGAAAAAAAAAAAAAAACTCACACACGACAGGACTTTAAAAAAATAGTGTTATGGACACCTGTCATTGAGAGGTGTGGCAGAAAATAAAGAGTGAGACAATGGGGAACAGGAGCCACAGTTTTTTTTTTTTCTTTAACTGACAGAAATCAAAGCATAATAATAATAGTTTCTCACTGAGCTGTGATTGAAACATCCTGTTGCTAATCCTTAGGGCAGAAGGGAAACGATACAAGATGGCTTCGGGAGGTTCCTAAAACTGACCAGCTTCACCAAGCCCCTCCCTCTCAGATAGTAAACAATAAAGACTGCTCAGAGTCAAGCTGCAAGGAGGGGTCTCGGACAAGCTAAGATGCAAAGAGTCTCTCGGATGAGCTGAGCTGCAAGCAAGCAGCAGGGATCAGCCAAGATGCCTGGAAGGAGCAGAAACCAGCGGAGACCAGCTGAGCTGCCATGCAGGGGTGTAGACCAGCTGAGCTGCCATGCAGGGGTGTAGACCAGCTGAGCTGCCATGCAGGGGTGTAGACCAGCTGAGCTGCCATGCAGGGGTGTAGACCAGCTGAGCTGCCATGCAGGGGTGTAGACCAGCTGAGCTGCCATGCAGGGGTGTAGACCAGCTGAGCTGCCGGGAGCTGCCTTCAAGTTGTACAGTGTACTCTAAACACCCAGTTTTTATGAGACGTCACCCATACTATGGTGGCCTTTGGTGACACACCTGTCTTGGAGTTAATTTTGCTCTTGTAAGTAACCCCTCACCCTTTAAGTAATCTCAATAAAACTCATTAGTTCACCCTTTTGGGCTTTGGCTGTATCTAGGCTTTGGTGTGTGTTACATCTCCCCAGGAAAAGCCTCATCACATAACACTCACTCTTGTCCCTGGACATACTGGTCTATGAAATTATTTGGTAAAGGGAGGATATTTCCCTTAAGGTTCAAAGCTCTTCCGTTCTCAACATCAAGTGGCAATGTCCATATGTTATGGTCCATAATGAGATCTTACATGTTCCATCTTTGAAAATGTACATATAACCTGAGAGGCACTGACAGGCTCATAAGCAAATGTCTGGTAAACAAAACAAAACAAAAACCAAAACCTTTTTACTGTATGTGTATGGGTGATTTGAGTACATGTATGTCTGTGTACCACATCATGCCTCGTGCCCTCAGAAGCCAGAACAGGGTGTCGAATCCCCTGCAACTGTAGCTACAGATGGTTGTGAGTTGCAGTGTATGCTCTGGAAATGAAACCCAGGTCCTCTGTAAGAGCAGCCACTGCTCTTAACTTCTGAGTCATCTCTCCAGCCCTGAGGGTTATGATTTTTTATAAAAGAAGTCGCCTTTATTCTTGAGAATTTGATAACATGTATACAGCTAAATATGATCATATCAACCCCACCTCACTATTCCAATTTCACTAACATCATTCCCAACTTCATGATGTCTTCAATGTACATATGGGCAACATTAATTTCACTCAATGGGTTATCAAAAAAAAAATCCCATATTTTAAATGGAGAATTTTCACCACCTGGAAGAAAAACAATCTTAATTCTCAGATGATCTGCCTCTAAAAAAAAAGTATGTCATTATAGGAAAATTATAACTTTAGACTAATAATTACTCTCTGGAAGATTAGGTAAATTTCCTTAACTGCACATACACAAAAATACATGCATTTTCATAACTCCTCTTTGTTTTTTTTTTTCTCTAAGAAATCTAAGCAAAAGAAGCTGCTAGAACTACAAACTGAGCTTCAAGGACAAATCCATGGACCTCACACCCTGTGCCCAACACATTAGTTTCTCCTGGATCCCGACAGTTCGCCATCTGGTTCCCTTTAGTTCTCCACGCAGCCACACTGTGTGCAGACAATTAAATTCCTTCTACTGTGATATTTCCAGCACTCATCTCCTTTCATTCTCAATGTTGTGAAAGTGTTGACAGCGAGCCATCATCTTTTCCATCAGTAGGGATTTAATCCCCGGGTCCACACATGTCCCCCTTACTCTTGACGTCAAAGGACAATGTTTAGGGCTGGGGAGGTGTCTCAGTGGTTGAGAGCACTGGCTGCTCTTGCAGAGAATCTGGGTTCAATTCCCAGCACCCACACGGTAGCTGACAAACATCTGTAACTCCAGTTCCAGGGGATTTGGTGCCCTCTCCTGGCCTCTGGTGGTAGGGCATGCACACACACGTGAAATGGCTAGGGTGATACCATCGTGTCCTGACTTCATCTCCGGATTCCTCAGCCTGCCACCCCAATAGCCGCATCTGCCTTGGCACTGCTCTCGATGAGACTGGCATGTTAACCACAGTCCACACATATTAACCAGAATATCCGTGTAGGCTAAAACTAAAATAACTAAGCGGAAGTGGCAATTAAGAAATAATTGTGATGTAGTGTCTGGAAAACACCATTAAGCTCTGCAAAAAGACAGATGTTGTTCCGACCCCCTTCGAACCTTCGAACTCTGATGAAATTGTGGGTTTTGTCTTTTAAAATGCTGCACTCCTGAACTCTGCACCAAGACACTCCAAGCCAGCTCTGGTCATTAGCTAAAAATAGGACTTGTATACTTCTAATTGGCCTAATCACACACGTCATTCCACATGCTTGTAGAACATCCATGCATATACAATTAAAAAAAAAAAATAGAGACTGTCCAGTTGCTGATAAAGCCAGCCAGGCTACCTTTGATGCTAGATTTCTACCAGGGCTTTACACCAGAGGGCACTATATTCCAGGAGGATGCCACAAAGGTCTGAGAAACGAAAAGTAGAGTCTTCCTCCATCTCGTGGATTACGCCGAATTATCTCTTAAAGCAGGCTGCTAGACTCAAATACTGAGGCATTTAGTGAGGCTTTCCCATCTATGCACACGTGTAAGACTGGTCCACACACCGTGTCTCATAAAAAGAGATGGAAATATTCCCGTGTTTCTCTCTAGTCTGAGCTATAAAGGAATCCTGTGAAAGTCTTAGTGGCTTGTTGACAGGAGGCAATCCCTCGGCAGCATATTCCACATTCTTTCAGATTCCTCATGCACACTAACCTTTTACTAACTACTCCCCGGGCCAGTTTTGGCCATTCCGTTTTCCTATCTAAAAGCACCTATTTTATACTGTGTTGCCATCTGCTATAAACTGCTGTGTTTAAGTGCACTGCTTCATCTCAGATGCTTCTCCTTTACATTTTCTTGTCCGTTTCTGGCCTGGGTGACGACCCAGCTTGACCGATTAATCGTTTCTATTTCTTAACAGTGCAATTGCAGCAGCCTGCGCAGATGCAACCAAAACGCAAAGCTTCGTGACAAATTATACAAACCTTAGAAGCAAGACCCGCACTTGAAGTCCATTTTCAGCATTTTTCATCCTCTGCTTCCACCGGCTACATGCCAGCTTAGCCTTGAAGCTGACTGGGTTTAGAACACCCTTCCCTTCTTTCGGATCATTCTTCCTAACAGAGCATTTGAGTTAACTACTCACATTCCAAAGGCTGCTTTCCCCGGAAGTCCCGAATTAACCCTATTCACTTCTCGTGTAGACGTCAAACGAATCAAACCATTTTCCAAACAGGAAGACTTACACTGATAGAACCAAGGGAAGCTGTCCACAAGTCACTCAAAACTCAATGGAAGAGGGAAGGCAATTTTTAATCCCTTTGTGTGGAGAGAGCATATGGCATTGTATGTTTGCATTTGCCAAGTAACTGCCCTGAATTTAGGAGGGTCGCCACTGAACTCCACTGTAAGAAGGTCTCAGGAAGGCCTCCTGAGACACCGCCTGTGAGGCAACCAGAAGAGCTTACACTCTGTACTTTATCAGAGACGTACTCCAGTGCCAGAGCAGCTGCTGCATGGGGAGCTACCACTCTGCTATGAATACTGTCACGTGTGTATGAAAGCAGAGAACAGAGCCACGTTAATCAAAAGTCCCATCGACTGACAGTAAAAGCCTGTGCTGAGTTCCCCGAGAACAGCAAAACTACTGAGTGCCAATACTCCTCGGGGTTACTTATTGGGGGTGATGTAGGACTAAGTCCACGTCTTAAATGTGTATTTTGAGCATCTTACTCGTGTAACCCTGAAATCACACCCCCCCCCAGTACATGCCCAGGACCAAAGACATTCATCCCCTTGTGTGCCTTCCCACTTGACAGAGAGACTGCTGGTATGGGTGGCCACCATTCTGGCTGTCACTGGCAGTCGATGCGAACACCACCACCTACCACTGCAGTAGTGTTTGGGAGCCAATGTGTCCCAAAACATGGGTTTCTCCGAACTGACTAATTAGTGAATGTGGACACGCGTGTGTCACAGCACACACGTAGATGCTGGAAAACAACTCTTAGGAACTTTCTCTCCCGTGACCTTGTGAGAACAGAGGACCACACTTAGGCCTGTGCACAAGTGACTCTGCTCACTGAGTCCTGATATCACCTTTTCATTACCACTCAGGTCAATGCTTCCTTATTTTAATTGTGATTTTTAAAGTAATTTATCTAACTTTATTTTATGTGCATTGGTGTGAAGGTATCAGATCCTCCTGAAACTAGAGTTTCAGACAGTTGTGAGCCGCCATGTGGGTGCTGGGAATTGAACCCAGGTCCTCTGGACGAGCAGGCAGTGCTCTTAACCGCTGAGCCATCTCAACAGCCCTAATTGTGATTTCTTAATCGACCCATTGGTAACCATGTGGTTGGAAGTTCCCCAAGCTCACGCTGGTATTCTGGTCTATCGCCTTGGAGCATTAAGAGGTAGAGGCTAACCAAGAGACCAGGCCAGGAGGACTTTGCTCTCACGAGCAGGCTCATGAGGCCACCACAAGGCAGGTTAGCTACCATCCACCATCTACGCAAGCTCTGTGTGCCCTGCTGTGTGTTGTACAACACACTCTGCTACAACAGAGCAAGAGCCTCAGCAGATGCTAGCACTCTTGATACTGGATTTCTCAGCCCTCACAACTGCCTGAGGTCAATGTCTTTCGTTCATAAAGTAGCCAGCTTGTGGCATTCTGTTATGGCATCATAAAACAGACTAAGACAAGTAATGTTTAAAAAAAAATGCATTGCTGGGGCTGGACAGATGGCTCGGAGGTTAAGTGCACTGGCTGCTCTTCCAGAGGTCCTGAGTTCAATTCCCAGCAACCACATGGTAGCTCACAACCATCTGTAATGAGAGACCTGGCGCCCTCTTCTGGAGTGCAGGCATACATGCAGGCAGGAAACTATATATGTAATAAATAAATCTCAAAGGGAAAAAAAATGAAAAAAATGCATTGCTTTGTTTCCAAATATTTGAAGACTGCCAACCTATCTGTTGTCTCGTTTCCTTTAGTGTTCAAATAATACATTCTGTTTGATTTCAACCTTCTAATATTCGTTTCATTTATCTTCTAGTCTAATCCAGGAGAGCAACAGGCCCAAAGTCCTGTGAATTCAAACAGGTGATATATTCTGCAGGTATTGCATATGGTAACACCTATGAAATAAATAAAAGTAAGAGTGTATCTGTTCCAACATATGTTCTTACCTACTTACCTATTCATGTTTTATCAATCACTGAAAGTTTTGTTTAAACTCTTTAAAAGTTCAGTTCTGCCACATTGTATCCTTGGTGTGCGCACTTGCCAGGTCTCAGGACACTTGAGAAAGCTGCTTTAATTTTTTTCTGTTGAACCAGATCATATATGCTAGACATCACCATCCCTCTTAATGCACTTTGCCTTTACCTTATCTGATGCTAATTTTGTCATACCAGGGCTCTCTCTGTCTCTTTTTATATGCTACTTCTAACCGACTGGAACCCTTTTGTCTTCGTATCAAAGGTTTTTCTCACATGTAAGCACCAAGTAGCCTTGCTTCATTTAATTTAGTCTGTCGTCATTTTGATGGAACATTCAGATCACTCAACATTAAATGTAAAGTAAACTGTCACTTTTCTAGGTGTCTCCTTTGTTCTCTGTTGTTTCATTTCTCACTTGTAAAATTTTTATTATGTGTTTAGGACCTGCGAGGAAGAGGGACCGCCTTGCTGTGGAGGTCACTGACTTAGTGGCTACTTCTTTCCTCTTACATTTACATGGTTTCTGGGGCTAGAACTCAGACCCCAAGCCTGATGTCTTTATCCACTGAGTCACCTCAGTGGTCCGTTTACTCCTGTATCTTTTGACGAGTCAAATATTTGTCATTTCACCTTTTTATCCCTTTGCTGGTGGCTCAACGGGATATCCCATAAAGAGTTACCAATATACCGGTAGTAGTTTTACCACACCCAAGGCTGCAAGCACATTTACCACAGAGTTTATTGTGCTACCTCCCAGCTTTGCTTTTATGTAAGTTACAAATGCCACAAAACATCCTTGCATTTTGAGGTGCCACTTTCATCTGCAAGGTCACATTTCCGTCTTCATCCCCTTCTTGGCCGCACGCTTGCACGTGTATAATTTCTCTCCAGTGGAGCCTTTCTTTCCCTTAGGAGTCTTCCTAGCACAACCCTGATACCAACCAAGTCCTTCAGGGTTGCCCCTAGCTTTGGCCGAAAGCACCCTGACTTCCCTTTCATCCGGGAAAGGTATTTTTAGACAGGCAACAACGTCTAGATAGGCTTTCTTTGTTCTTTATTTTACTTTTTCTCTTTTCAGTAACCGAAAGATGTTAGTCCGCCGTCTTCTGCCTCATCAAGTTCGTGTGAAAGTTGTCTGTCAGTCATCCGATGACTCCTTCAAAGAAACGCCCCCTCAGGCCTCTCTAGCTGCTTTCAAACTTCCCCTTCTTTATTCTGGGGATCTTGATTCAGTGAGTCACCATTCTTCATGTGGAAAATTCTTAGCTCCCCCCCCCAACACCCTTTAAACATTTCTCTTTCTCTTCACTGGGGTTCCAGCTTCACACACTTCAGAACCTTTGTCTGTGTCCCGCATACTTCTGCTCTGTTCTTTGTCTCACGACGGTCCAGCACGGGCCCGCTCCATTCACTTGTGTCTCAGTTCCTTTTTTCTGTTGTGAGAAAGACCCGTGACCAAAAGCAACTCGGGGGACAAAGGGGTCCCCTTCAAGAGCAGCGCGTGTCCTTGACCCCAGCCATCACCCCAGGCATCACGAGAGTAGCTTCACAACCGTTAGGTGGCCATACATGCTGCCTCTTTGAACCTGTTAGAAACCAGTCACATTTAAAACACAGGGATGCTGCCAAACAATTTTCCAGGGGGAGAATTTGCATGGAACAGTTCTGATCTCCTCCAACACCTAAACACTGGTGAAGTATTTCAAATGGAAAAGTCATGTCTAAATTGGGGAGTGCAGTGAATGCAAAAAACCCACAATGGACAAAAGATAAACGAAAATATTGATCTTTTATATACTGAAGGCCTGTAAATAATGTTTTGGATAAAAATAACATTTGCTTTTTGTCACCGTATTACATACCTACCAGTGGCTTACACTGTAGCTCTTTGGCTACCACTGCTTTACATCCTACACCAGTCTTGGCAAAGCCACAAGAACGACGCACCTGGCACGTGACACTGGGCACCTGCAGGGTGAGCCCGTTAGCCCGCTGCACCTTACTACCTTTGAAAAGAAGAAAACGCCACCGGCCACCGCCCAGCCCGTCTGTGGTTTCCCCCTCCAGGCTGACTCACCCATGTCCAGGGCCTGCTGGCACCTGAGCAGCGCGGCCTCGGGCTGCTGCTGGCGCTGAAGCCCCCGCGCCTGGCAGGCGAGCCTGCGCAGCCGACATTCCGCGGGGAAGCATCTCTCCAGGAGCCCGCTCAGCACCACGTTCACGCGCCGGGCCTGCGCCCGCCCGGGGACCAGCTCCACGCAGCGCTTGCACACCGTGAGCCCGCTGGCCAGCGTCACCGGCTTGTAGAGCAGCCGCCCGCAGCGCGGACAGCCCAGCAGGTCGCGGGGCGCCACGGGCACCGGGGACCCAGCCGCGCCGAGCGGCCTCGCCACCGCCGGCGGCCGTTTCTCGCGCAGGCCCAGGGCGCGCGCCAGGCCGCTCGCCAGCTCCTCCAGCTCCTCGGGCTGCAGGGGCCCGAGCAGTGCGGCGCCTCGGAAGGCGCCGATGGCCTCGGGGAGGCGACCGGCGCGGGACAGCGCGTCCCCCAGCTGCAGGCACAGGCCGCGCTCCGGCTGCGCCAGGCCGGCCAGCAGCGAGCGGAAGAGCTCGGCCGCCTCCTCGTAGTCGCCGGCGAGGAAGGCCGCGGCGCCCTGCTCCAGGCGCTCGGCCGCGGGCTCCTCGAGGCTGCAGCCCGCGCTCTGAGGGGCCGGAGGCTGCGCTGCCGGCTCGGGGCTCATCGTGCGGCCGGGAGGGCTTGCCCGGACCCAAGACTCCTGTGCCTTCGCTGGGAGAGCCGCGCGTCAGCGGACGCGGTGACCACGCGCGTCGGGCCCGCAGGAGCGCAGCGCAGCCCCAGCTCGCTCGCGCGAGGCGCCGTGCGCGCCCCGGAGGCTCACGTCAGCCGAGTGGCCGTGGGAGCGTGGCGACCCCCTCGCCGCTTCTTGCCTGAACCTTTTCCTGCTCCCGCCGGGCGGCCCCCGCACCGCCGTGCGCGCGCATCCGCTTCCCTCCGCTGCCACCTGGTCGCTGCGCATGCTGAAGCGAGCATGCCGATGTCCTCCACCCAGCTCTTCTGCATCGCCCTACCTGCCCGTTCCCCAAGGCTGGTACCCTATACGACCCCGGGCTCCTGAAGTTCCCAAGCCCTGCAGTCATCCCCAAGAGAGTAAGATCCTGCAAAAAGAGACCCTGCCTCTAAGTTCTCCAGTAACGCAAGAATTCAGACAATGAAGAATACAAACACATACACAAACACACACACACACACACACACATACATACATACATACATACATGCACACATGCATGCATACATATTATTCAGTTTACATTAAACGCCATGGAAGTACAGATGATTGGAGGTCATGTGGGGCTGGAAGAAAGGACATGTGTGGGAAGTCACATGAGGAAATCTTTGGAGATGCTATCTTGACTGTGGTGGTGGTCTTGATACCAGGTAGGTGGGCAGTCAGATGGGGTAACCAAGGGTTCCGAAGCCCCTTTGTACTTAAATACCATCGAAGCTGCAGATAGTTTGTTCCCACTTAAAAAAGAAAAACCCAAAAACAAGGCATGGGAACTTTCCCCACACACAAGTGTACTAATGAATTAATTATAAGAAAGAGTTTGTTAAAAATTTAAAAAGACGGAGCCGGGCGTTGGTGGTGCACGCCTTTAATCCCAGCACTCAGGAGGCAGAAGCAGACGGATAATTTCATTTTGTGAAAATGCCTTTATAATGTAGAAGATTTAAAACGTACTACATGGAGGGCAAAAAAGTACTTGTGTGCACAGCATCACTGTAAAAACCAGGAGGGTCAAACACACTGGCATCTTTCAAAGGAAGGAGGTGTTTAACCTGTCTCCCTCTTGAAATGCTCGGAAAGGATGTGGCGTACAGCCCGGGGATCCTCTGCTGTCTGATGAGCCAGGCTCCACCTGCATCTCCCAGAGTCTGTGTTTACTTGTCCCGGACCCTTTCCCCCTAAATCTCGAGCAATGCTCCTAGGTCATAAAACTCACTCTCATGAGTGATGTCAGTCGTGCTTCACAACAGCCTAAGTGACCTCCACGCTGTCTCAGAGCCAGGCCAACCCCACACCCACAGGGATTATGCTTACCTCAGTCAGTCTCTCCAGGCTCTCAATCTTGGGCGCCCTCTGTGAGTCAGCAGTACCTACCTTTGTGAAAGGAGCCAGAAGCACGCTGTAAAGAACTCCGTTGTAAACATGTCATAAGTTTGTTGTGTGCTTGGGGCTGAAAAGAGAAAACTCTTTTCCAAAATTTGTGGTGTGCTCAAGTCTGACCTGATGTGGGACCCTAGAAGTCTTGGCTCAGCACCACTGCAAACATCTGGCTGACTCGCGCTTCATTCTTACCTCACCCTGATCATCTTCCCTGCCCGCCTTAAAGCCTGAAGAGACCCTTCCACAATACTGGAGTAGAGAGGCCATGGATAGGGAAGTCTCATGGGCACACCTTGCACCTTCAGCAACGCGTGGCCCCTCCCATTTCCCTGCCTCCCTGAACTTTTCAGCAGGCAGACCGTATATTACTCATCTGTTAATGACTTGGTACATATCTCCAAAGGGTGAGGAAATCCTTAAAAAAATAAATAAATTGCTGCGCTCCCATTAATTAACTATAGTCACTTGACATCTCAAATGCCTAGTTAGTTCATAAATCTGTAGTTGTCATTTTGCTGAGAGCAAGCATGAAATCAACCACCTTGTCAGTCTACATAATAACAATTTGGAAAAGTATTGCTACGTGAGCACGCACTTATACACACAGACACACACACACACACACACACACACACACACAAATGTGTGTGCCTTGGACTTCAAAGCCTGATTGGTAGCAAGGAAATGAATTTGTTGTCCAGATGTGTTATGTCCAGTGATCTAGACTTGAGCATGGGATCGCATTATGTACTGTATTTAACATTTCCCGCCATGTGAGCATCAGTCCACCATGCTCAGGCCTGGGGAATGGAGCACCTGCTTCCACCGTGTTGAGCCAGCCAGCTCTCTCACTTCTGAAGATTCCCAAGAGGAAATAATCATCTGAGTAGCCGGACCAAAAGCCCATGTGGCAACTTGGACTGGCGATGTGGCTGGTGATGTGGGCCTGCCGGCGGTCTGTGCCCCAGATCTATAATAAGCAGCTGAGCACCCAGGGCCAGGCTTGACCAGTCCCTTAGCTGAGACTTCAGACACGAATATTCAGACGCCACAGTGAGGTACCACAACGCCTCTGTCGGCATCCTACACATTTGCAAAGCCTGGTTAGCACAATCTAAGCACAATCTGCATGCTCACACACACACCTCATCCAGTGCCGAGACCCATCAATCCAACGTCCCCAAGTTATACAAATATTAAAAGCTCACCTAAGCATGCAACATACGGAGTTCAAAACCGAAAGCGACACAGAGGCTCAGCTTGGCTGAATCTTTGTCAAACAGCTGTGTTGGCTTTATGACTTTGGCCATTCCCATCAGCTACAGCTGTTCCAATCTAGGGATTTGATGGGAGATGTCATTCTGTATATGTATCTCATACTGGTTAATAAATAAAGCACTGTTGGCCAATAGGAAAGGAAGATAGGAGGGACTAGGAGACAAGAAGGAAAATAGGAAGGAGTAAGGAGGAGTCAAGATGGAGAGCCTGAAGAAAGCAGTATGCCGCCTGCTCCCCAGTAAGAGAAATACATAGATCAGCAGAAATGGGTTAATAATTAAGGCAGAGCTAGCCGATAAGAAACAAGTAACCGGGCCAACAGCACTGTATCAAATACAGAGTCTCTGTGTATTATTTGGGGCTGGCGGGGCAACAGGACTAGACCAGGCGGCAGGCGGAAAAACCGTACTCCTTACAGGGATTATTTGCTAACTGTGGGCATGTGTAAAGTAGGGCCTACGTCTGAAGCCTGAAATGTGGTTAGTGGGCTGGCTATGAGCGTCTTGAGAATTGTCTCCACTGCTAATTTTAGAAAGTTTTAAACAGTGGATGTCCACTGTCGCCTCCTCCTGAGTCACTAGACTGGGTGTCCAGCAGCTGTCACTGGTTTCATATTGCATTGCTACGCTTGATGGCAGATAGTATCGACAGCTTTTCCCAAGCATACAATCATGCCTTTAATCATTAGTGCTGGGGTTAAAGGTGTGAGCCACCCATGCCGGGATCGCCTTTTATATCTTTAATTGTAATTATGTGTAACTGGATGTGCATATGTGCACATGAGTGCAGGTACCTGTGCAGGCCAGAAGGGGATGGCAAGCATCCCGAAGAAGATGTCACAGATGGCTTTGAGGCAGCAGCATGAATGCTAGGAACCAAACTCAGGTCCTCTTCAAGAGCAACAAGTTCTCTTAAGTACTACGTCATCTTTCCAGGCCCAATTAAGATTTACTTCCAGGTTTCATTGTTACCTTTTTCCCCCCTGGCAATTATGAAACATATCTTCAAAAATAAAGGCCATGCCAACCTCTAGAAAATACATGCATCCCTAGAAGTAAATTCTGTATTATTTTCTTCTGGTTTACACACACACACACACACACACACACACACACTATACACACACATACACTATACACACATACACACACACACACATGCACACACGCACACACACACATATATTGTTCACACAGTGTTTTGTTGATGTATTTAAAACTGAGCGCACATGGCCAGTGGTAGGAAAGATTGCTGGGAAAGGCCAGACGATCTCTAGCTCTGTAGCTGCTGTAGGAAGTTTGGCTTTTACTTCAGTGTGGCAGGGCTATTTGCGGGTGGGGCGTTGAGCACTTGACTGACAAAGCGGGGAAGAGAATGGAGTGGAGAGTTAGGTTTGGGAAGCCTTGTTTAAAGAGTTAAAAGTCAGCATATGGAAAAAAAAATCCAGAGGAGGGCTGAGCCCCTACCCCACCACCACCCCCTTTCCCTACTTGAGAACGATTGGACTAAATCGGAGGAAGATAGAGAACAAATCCCCCTCTAGAGCAGTGGTCCTCAACCTCCCGAATGCTGTGACCCTGTTAATGTGGTCCCTTATGTTATGGTGACCCCCGACCATAAAGTTATTTCATTGCTACTTTGTAACTGTAATTTTGCTACTGTTATGAATCATAATGTAAGTATCTGATGTGCAGGATGTCCGATATGGGACTCCCAAAGGGGTCGTGACCCACAGGTTGAGAATCACTGCTGTAGATGGAGATATTTGCTCGTCTTGTACTTTAAGGTCACTTTGAGATAATGTGCTTTGTCTTCTGAGAGGCCTTCCCATGCCCCTCCCCTCCCCGTGGGCTTCCTGCCTTTCTGAGTTCTTTCTCTTTTCCTCTCTTCTCCCCTTTCTGATGCCTCCAGAGTGCCAGGGTTCCTTTACACTTCCTAACCCGCGCTTCCTTGCTAACTCTTTTTGTAACTCCCCTCTGCCTACCATGTGGACTCCTGCGGGTGATGACCTCCCCTGATGCCCTGACTCAGACTTCATGGCTTGCCTGCCCTAGGGTTCCCTTTTAAACCCTAATAACTTGTGCCCAGGCATAAGAGTCTGTTCTTTGTCCCCAAGCTTGTCTTTGCATCCATTCTTAAATTCTTTTGTTATCAAAACTAAGTACCTCAAGAGTGGAGCCCACCCTCCCAGGTATGGTATGGTGGCTCGGTTGGGACTCCCCAGGATTTCCAGTAACACGCCTGTCTCTTCTTCCGTTTTCCTGCAGCCCTACAGCATCAGAAGCAAGGGCTCAGCCATG